AAGAAGAGAGATTTCAATGTGATGTTATCTGTGAAAGACATTTTCTCAAATAATATAGTAAGCTATACCTACTTTAAGTATGTTTACAACAATACTCTGCTATCAATGATTTTTTTATCAACATAGTTACAAAATCTTAGACTTTTAAAACGAATGCGTGTACAGTCAGATGGTAGACAATGTAAGGAAGACGGGCCAACTGCGTAGAGAGCAGTTGAGGGTATTTCCTATGGAGCACTATTTCTTCTTGGAAGCATCTCTCAAGCCCACTGGCAGGCAGCGCGGAGGATGCAGCGTGGCGGGGCGGCGCGGCGGCGGCTGCGCAGGGCGGAGGAGGCGACGAGGCAGCCGTTGGCCCGGCGCGGCCACAAAGGCGCTGGGAGCGGGAATCGGCGTAATTGAACGCGCAAAAACAGGGCTCCCTTGGCGCCGCCGGGAGGAGCGGCGCGGCGGCGGCGGCGGCGGCGGCGGCGCCGAGGGCCGCGTGAGTGGGGGAGAGGAGTGGGGGGGGGGAGGGGGAGGAGCGCGGGCCCTGAGAAAGGGTGTCGCCCTGGGGGGGGGGGAGGTCCCCGTGACGGGTGTCTCCGTGTCGCCGCGACGGGATACGCCTTCATTACGGGCGATAAAGTCGGCCCTCGACGAAGCCACCCCTCCAAGACGCCCCGTCAGGGGCAAATAACAAGTCCATTCGTTGGACAGCCACTGCCATGAGGATGGGGCGACAGGATTTGCTGGGAAATGATGGCCAGGTGCTCAACGGGAAGAAGGAACCTCTTTATTTCAGTCGCTAAAAGAACCTGTATTCTCACATGATCGCCGCCATTTTCTTTTTTCTCGGGCGCTTATTTACGATGTGCAGACAGCTCTTTCAAAAAAGTATTTTTTATGTTCCATCTAATTTGATACAGCGGCGCAGTTTAAACGTTCAAATGTGCGTTACAGCCTGTTTTGCTGGGGACTGTTCGTTTCGACCTGTTACATGATTTAAAATAAAACGTGTATCATTGATTTTTCTTGCGGATAAAGTACTTTAAAAAGATATTTTAGTTATAAATTAAATGAAGTGTAAAATGGCTCTTTCTTAGATGATTCATTTCAGCTGATGTCCTCCAAACACTGTTTTCCAAAAACGGTCTTTTATTAAAAAAAATACTTGGAAACGTTCTGAAAAGAGGAATACTGTGAAATATAGTTATATTCGAAAATTTAGTATAGTCTGTATTTGAGTCCAAAAGATTAAACATTTTGATAGCCAAAATAACTTACTTGTTGCATTACATAATCAAACTCTATGAATTATATACTATTCCAGAAAGAAGATAATCAATTATGGTTGGGAATATCAATCTTAAATAGCAGGTTTTCGCATGTTTTAGGACGAAATGGTGCTAAAGAATCGACCTTATGTCTCACTGATTTCTATTTATTATCTTACACATTACAAAATTAAAAATACAATAAAATAAAAAGGTTTTCGTGTAATCTCATCACCAACCAAACTCCCAAACTTTTCCAACGAACATCTGACGACTGTACATGATACCATGTACACAAACGTCTCATTAATGCATCGGAAATTGCGTACTCATGTGTTCTACATCCCTCAAAAAAAAAAATCCCCACTCGCTGTTATTAAACTTCCTGATCGGCTGTTACGCATCCACCTGCCGAGGAATTCTGCCCAGAGGCTTCCCAAGAGCTCTCATTTGGTCGGCCATCTTCTCGACCAAACGCCTGCTCTGTTTCTCCACCTGCCGTGTCATCTGTGTTCGAGCATCACATGCAGCGGTTGCACGTGCCCCATCAGTTGTGATTACCACAGACCTACTTACATGATCTTCGGGGCAGTTAGTGCCCAACTTGAGCCTTGGTAAATTACCTGAATCGCCACAAATCGTTCACTACCAGTAAATTATTCCCTTTTTCATGCAATATTTCAATAAACAATTTCATTTTTCTCGCGTGCAAATACATAAAGTGAAGTTTTTCTGTATCTTTACTTGTAACATAATTCATACCTCTCATATTATTCGAAAATAAGATCTATTGTTAATTGGAGTATTCGTCAGGAAAGTATTGCAAAATCAGTAAAGCACGATTACACAAATGGTATGCCGGGGATATCTTTTTGATGTAGAAGTATATTACTATAATAAAAGATTTCAAATATGAAGAGAATTTAAATTTTGCCACCAGTATGTGTAGAGATCATCGAAATAGAAAATAGATTTTGTTGAATTGCTATACCTGAAATAAATTGCAATAGTTAAATCAGGCGTTGTAACAACGTTATAATTTATATTTTTAGAATTAAAGTTGAAGCAACTGAAATGCTCAAAAGATCTTTGTTTTTATCTTGTTTGGTAGGAAGAGGTGTTAAGTTTTGAAATATGCAAAAAGTGGCGTATATTATGACCATTTGTTCCTTTTTGGTCTATTAAATGTTGTGCATTATACTAAATGAACGCTAATATTCAAAAGAATACGTTTTGTACACACAGCGTTGTTTTACCTTTTACGTTTGGTTCTGACAACGATGTTTTAGAATGTATTCTGGAAGTAACAGCTCGTGCATATTTTTCGGATATTCCCGTTTTCAACCAGTAGTAGTTCTCCTCTTTGTGCCACGATTGTTGGTTGTTATTTTTTTTGCTAGACGTTGTCCATACAGTTGTTCACACAACCGACATAGCGCCCGAAATTATTTGTTCGTACATTAGAGTTGGCAAGTAACTTATTGCTGGAATATAACCAGTATCAATATGGTCGTTATAATATTTTCGAAGAGATTGAAGCACTACATAAAAAATTGTTTTAAAAAAGTCTCACATGCCAGGAAATGTGAGCTTAAAACAATGTTAC